CGATTTTAATTTCTCAGTAGTACTTATCTATAAATAATAAATAAATAAATATAACTATAAAGAATGATTCGTAACTATGTATATTTTATTATCAGACACCATGCGATATACTTCCGAGATAATATAATCTCATAAAATGATAAGATTTTTTAAAAGTTCCTTATGTCAAGAATGACATATCTGTAGTTTAAGAAGAAAAATTCATAAATATATCAATAAATTCTTTCTATATACTTATTTTAGTGCGAATGTTTAACATCAATGAATGGTTTTTGATTTGGTTGTTTTAAATGTAAATAGACGATAGTCATATCTCTTTTACTTGTCCGCTTTTTTCTTTTCGTATAACGAACCTTATCGGTTTTATTCATATCTGTTGTTTGCTCATGTTTTTTCTTTGTGTTTTTCTTCTCAATTACACATGCACCAGACAATGTTTTCTTAGTGTTGTTTTCTTTTTTTTCTTCGTCGAATTTTTACTATTATCGATGTTTGTTTTGTTTGTCCGAAACCAAAAGCGTTTTGTTTTTTCTTTTTTCTTGAGAAAAAAATAACAAAGATTTATGACGATAAGGAAATGACTTTTTTTTTTATTTTCGATTTTTCATAACTTGTCGTGGAACTAATGAATTTATCTAAAAAAAAGATAATTATTGATTAGAATGTAATGAAAAAAAAATATGTTGATGTTTTCTTATTACTTTAACAGCTGATATAACTTGTGGTCGTGGTGGAATAGGACGACCACGTTTATTACCAAATTGAAATGAAAATGAATCTGTTTCAGGTGAATTTGTTGATGATGGTGATGGTTGAGCAATTGTTCGAAGAATATCATCAATACTATTTGATGAATGAGGGGGAGGAGAAGGAGCACGAGGTATTTCACGTTCAATAGATAGTTTTCTTTTCGATATTGGAGGTGATTTAATACTATGCCATTCAGTTTGTGCATCGATTTCTAGGCGTTCAACAGATTGTTTTCTTTTCGATATTGGAGGTGATTTAATACTATGCCATTCAGTTTGTGAATCGATTTCTAGACGTTCAACAGATTGTTTTCTTTTCGATATTGGAGGTGATTTAATACTATGCCATTCAGTTTGTGAATCGATTTCTAGACGTTCAACAGATTGTTTTCTTTTCGATGTTGGAGGTGATTTAACACTAAGCCAATCAGTTTGTGCATCGATTTCTAAACGAAAGCTAAAAGACTAAATTATTAATAGATTTAATATTAACAAATCATTTACTCAATTTCATCATTATCACGTAAAATTTGATTTACTTGAGCATGTGGAGGTAAAACATAATCATTAACAAATGCTTTAAGATATTTTAATTTTGTTGATCGTTTTGATAAATGAAATTCATAATAATTAGCAAAAAGTTTTTGTTGTTCAATGAAATATTCTAATAAATCATTTATTGTTATTATATTTGTTGTTGTAAAATCAATAATTGTCCAAAATTGATTATGTTCAACTGGTAACCATGATGCGCGAAAACGTAATCGAAGCATTTCTGTTTTTAAACTTATTTAATTAAATTCTTCGTTTAGATTCATTTGTTCATCTATCATGAATAATACACACTTACTTATTATTTTACTATTGCATAAGAAATTTATTTAACCTCTCTCATAGAAAAGAGGGCGTTCGATACCAGTGTGTTAGATATATTTTATGTAATATGTAAAATTAATTTATTAATTGAATTAAATAACAATAGAAATAATATAATGATGATAGAAAAGTAGTGATACTCTCTATCTTAGTAAGAGAATGAACCTAATACTGGAGTCAATCTGTCGATGAAATTCTCTATGAACCCAAGTGATGTAGACGCTAACAGATCTGATGAACAAACTCTATCTAATTAATTGAGTACTACCAAGTATGTAATTTCAATAGTGCAGATTCCACTGTTAAAATGATTCTTTTAGAAAAGTCTGATACATCATCTCTATCTTAACAAAAAGTAGGAAGAATACCTTCTATTTGTATTTTTATATAAAGATAACAACCCAATGTCTGATCACTCCTGTGATAGAGTACAGATAATGACTTATATTTTAAATTTTACAAAAATTTCATACATTGCGTAGACAATAATGTCTCAATAGTTGATAACAAATCGCGGAGAAATTTGCTATGAAATTACATTTATCCCACACGTGGTTTTTTTCCATGTTCTGTCATACAACATGGTGAAATATCTCATGACTCATGTTTATCTATTATGCGTCTAGCTTATAGTGATGTCATTATATATTTCACAACTTGTATAGATCTATATATACATCATTACTCCATCTCGTCTTCATATACTTGTTCGTCTTATATTCAGACAATGATTTGCTTAGTGCACAATCCACGTTATCGTTCGTTATTTCATGCTGTTGTAAATGAACTTCGAAATGAAAAACGTATATCTGTAAATCTATTACGAAATATGCCTAAAAGCTGTTGTACATGTAACAATATTGATAACGTAGTAATGAAATCTTGTCTTATACATGACAAAGATAAATTGATTAATTTACAAAAACTTATTAATCAAATAAATCAAGATAAACAAAACAATCCCAAACTTATTTTAGCATTAAATGGATTAGAAAATTTTATTAACGAAAATCAAGTTAATTCATTTTCAAATCCGTTACCAATAACTCATACTCAGAGTTCTATTGAGTTTTCCGATACGGAAGACAGTCAGCCAATGAATACTGATAGATCATTAGTTAAAAAACAAAAAAACCCACCAAAGCCATTGAAAGATGGAACATTTCTATTTTTACCTTATAACTTTAACAATAAATCAAATTCAATACCAGTATTTAAAGCTGATAAAGATAAACAACGTGGTCGATTTATTGGCCGCAATGGTTATATTACATCATTAGAAAAGCAAAAATCTGTTTGCATTAATATGATAACACCTTCAACAAGTGAGCAAATTAAACGAACACTTTCGGATGCTAAAGAACAAGTTGGAAATGTAAAAATTCATAATCCAAAAGATATATCAAAGTCAGATGATGGCGAATGGATATTAGTTCGAATGGATAAAACGAAAACAAATACAGCGAATATCGAAGACGTATTGGATGATCTAAACGATCGGTGGGAAAGTTTTTTGAAGATAAGAAAACGACGACATGTAGAAGTCGATGAAGAGGACGATGAAGAAAGTTTTAAAAAAATATAGTAAATTTATATGAACATTGTATTTTATTTTTTTGATTTTATAATAATCAATAAAAATAGTGATTTTAAATAATTGTTTGAATATAACCGATCTGAATCGTATCTTCAAGAACAGCGATAAAATCAATTCGTCTGTAATATTGCTTCATTTATCCGAAACTAATATATCTTGTGGAACTCTATTTTTGTCATTTGGGAATTTTCGCACGACAATTTTAAGTCGAGAGAGAACATTTAATATAGTGTGAGAAATAGAAAAAATCTAATTTCGTGCTAAAGGAAGTGTTTCAACACTAATTACACTTGAAGGCGGTGAAATTCAACATTTTACACTTGATCTTCATTTTTTCTTGTTTGAAAAATAAATAAAAAATATGTTATTTTGTGTAGTAGTTCAAATGTATTCATGCTTTTCTTAATTGTATTTGATTTATAATTGATGAGTATGTGTCTAGAATATTAAAACAAAAAGTAAATTAAGAGCCAGAAATAATTCTTTCGACATTTGAATAATTTTTATATTTTTCTAAATAAATAATTTGATTTTTGTTTTTGTTTTTTGCTCATAAAATAGTCCTTGAAGGCAAGTGGTTAATGCATGAATATTAGTATTGATATGATCAATAGCAACAAAAAAAAAGAATATGAAGAATAGAAATATTATAGGAAATCAAAACTGTAATGATTTATTTTATAAATGATATTAATTAAACTAGAATTCCGGAACAATGACCTTGATTGATTGAATTAATAAAGAAATAATTATTTAAGAAGATTTCTGACAGTCAATATAAATGAGATTGCAAAAGCATCGTTTTTCGCATATACTATATTGACTTCATAGATATAAGAGAATCTTTTTGTTACTTATGTCAATTTTTTTCGTAATATATTCTACAAATTTCATATATTTCATAAGCATCTATCATAGTTGACGTAGATTATTCATATATATATTTCTTTTTTTTTATTAACTTGTTCATCAGTTCTCTATATCGTTGAGAGAGTTGCACTCATCTAACAAAGCTATTATTGCTATATTATGAGTTCAAAGGATTCTATTTGCGTAGAAAGAAATAGTAAGCAAAGAGAGAAAAAAAGGAAAATAAACGAACGACTTATTCTTTGTCAATACATAAATCACTGGCTAGATCTAGACTATTCTTTTCCTTTTTCGTTGTGCCTATCACGGCTTTATCGTCCCCAATAAAACTGTTTATTAGAAGAACACAAGCAGAAGAAAAGAAACATTTATAAGCGAACACATTTGTCTATTGCAACAAAAACCACTCATGTCGGATGAACATCATAATAAAATGGGTCCTGTTATGGTTTGTTTGTTAGAAAAAAAGTCATTTTTTAATTTCATTAAATGATTTCTTTTCCCTTATTCTATCGTAGGACGCCACACCGGAAATTCAAAAAATAAGGTTTATTAGTTTATTCTTATAGAATCTAATTATTTATTTTTTTGCTTATTTCAATAGTGAACGTCCCGAAGTTATATATTCAGCAATTGATGCTCTCTATAGAAAACATAATGAACATAGAATACATCGTTTTACTGAAGAACATCGACAAAAACATATTGCAAGTTGGAAGTAAATTTTATTCTTATTCATTATATACAAATATTCGTTTAAAATTTTTAGAGTAACAAAATATGGTGAAGAAGAAGTTGCTTATGGTACAAATTATTTTTTAAAAGTATCTATTGGTGAAGGTTTATTTATTCATATACGTATTCATCGTCATAAAAATCAAGATAAATATGATTTTTATGCATTACATGAAGTAATTAGACATAATATTGCGACTAGCGTTTTTACAGAAGGTAATAATAATACTATTGATTGATTGATTATATAATGATGTTATATCTTCTTATATTTAGATGATCCATTAACTTATTTCAATTATTAATATCAGAAGAACAACTTAAAGAAAAAAAATTATTATTTTTAGTCAAAATATATAAAAACTTTATCGATCTCATTTTATAAATATATAGACCAGCTTTTATATGTTGTTTTCTTATGCTGGAAATATGTCTTCCATTAATTGTTGACAAAAGTTAGAAAATATCCATCGAATTATTTATTTTGCAAATCATTTGTTTTCAGTCCGCTGGTAGAGTTTGAAAGAAAATGAGAAGTCGACATACGGAATTTTATCGATATCAAACCTCGAACAAATAATAGCGATATGTTTTTAAAAAACGATATTAATTGATCGTTTAACTATATTTCTGATCAACTGCATTTTCAACTAGGTAAAAGAGAATAACACCTCATTTATTTGTTGTTATCATGTGAAACTACGAGAAAAAGTGATTTTAATATTGGTTTAAGATTTTATTTAGTGTAATCGATCGATGATTCATTGTAGTTAATATTTAGCAGAAACATTTAGTTAAACTTTAAACAAAGAAAAAAATTATTTCGGGAAGCATAATGGCACGTAGCATATAATTAATTAGGAAGATTGTGTTGTTCTAGTTCGTTCTTGGCACATTAAAGAAACATTGACAATTTCATTTTTATCAGGACTGTGATAAATTAAACACACTATATTGAGTTTATCATGAAAACAATACATTGTAATAGTCATTATATATAATAAATTAGCCAAATAGTATTATGGCAGAAATGGTTATGTTTATCCTTTATTCCAGCATATATTTAAAGAAAATTGTATTGTTCATTATTAATTAGCTTTGACATCTTTTAGGTGCCCGTGTTTGTACATTTATTCTATAATACTGCCAAAAAACACACGAGCATATTAAATCAGGATGACTAATTCATGCACAATATACATTCCAGATAATCATCTTCAAAACTTTATTCAAATAAATAAAGATAACATCATTAATAACAATTTTCAGCTTCAGGATTAATTCAATTCGGTGCTTCCGAATGTTAGTACAGTGATAAATATTCAGTTGCAAATGTTATAAAGATTTTGATCTATAATTGTTTTCACACTAAGAAAGCAGTTGATCATTATGATGGCAAATCGAGTGGAATCTATATAGATTTGACCATTTTAAAGTATATTGAATGCTGTATGCTGAATGCAATTGATTACTTTTGGATATAAGAAGTAAAAATGAATGATATAAATACGGAGCTGTCCTTCGGCATCATGCACATTAAGCGTCAAGTAACGATGTATTGATAAAAATAAGCTGTTATTTTTCATACGCAAAAAATGTGATGCAAACTTATTTATTTGTAATAGTAAGAGAGAGACAGGTCTAGGCTTTTATCCATGAAGAAAGGTAATTATCTTTCGTTCGACAAGTGCAAAG